CTTCTTTAGTAAACCAAGGTTTTCTTAAATATTGAGACTACAGAAGACTTTCAAGTCAAATTCATCTTTGAAATACTCTAATACCTGAGAACATCTTCATAAAGGAGACTGTCTTTACTTCAGTCCACTCAAATGCACCAAACTTAAAGTGGGCAATTAATGCCCAACTTAACCATGGTCTCTAAAGATTAGGTTATACATTTTAGAAAGTGTGTGAAGTGTGTGTGTGTGTGTGTGTGTGTGTTTGTGTGTGTGTACATGCACATGTGTGCATTACTGACAAGAAGTGTTTTAACAAGTTCAAAGCTGATTTTGTAATCATTAATGTACAACTCCCCATAGTTGTGAATTCTTGTAAGAAAAGTTGAGTTCTTAAAGTTTGTTTTATATATATATATATACACACACACACATGAATGTTGTACAGGGAGGGTTCCCAATCCAACTTGTGGTTTTGTTTCTCTTATTGGCTGGTATTGTATAATATTTCCCCCAGATATGAATAGGAATGAAAGTTCTAACTGACTTTGCTGCTGAATGTCCTCTAGAAAATTTAGAGACAGGAACAGAAAATGGTATCTGGAATATTCTAGAAGAGTGGTTTTTACTTCTAAGTCTTAAAAATATACTTTATACCAGACTATACAAAAATGCATATACTTTATCTATGCCATAAAACTAGGTTTATTTTTAAATATTCTAATCAAAATTTAATATATCCTAGATATTCTTTTTGTGCTTTATTAATTTGGAGGCAAGGGAAGGTAAGACAGATTGAAGCCCAGGTTGGCCTTAAAGTCACTATGCAGCTAAGGTTGCCTTTGAACTCTTGCTCCTCCTTTCTCTACCTGTAAAGTGCTGGGATAACAAGTGAGCTTTGGGGGGTCCACATTTCCTCCATGCTGAAAGCCCAGAACAGTACTTTTAAAACTGTAATATGCATGAGACTCAGCAGAAAGTATTAGAATGTGGATAGCAGACTGCCCTCTGCAAAGGCAAGCCATGGAGAGTAACTGATTAAAAGTCTACAGTTTAAATTGCCTGTCTGATGTGAAGTGTAGTTGACAAGTGCATCTGATTTTGAAGAAAAAATACTTTAGAGATGCTCATATGATAAATGCTTTTGAAAAAAAATGACCAAAAAGAGAACTTGATACAAATATTAAGGGCTTTAAAGAGTAGGTAAGTAAGATAAGTAACATTTTAACATCTGTAGAATGAGAGGAAAACACAAGTCACATGAGACATCTATCTGAATGTCATTGTTATTTGGGAACATTTATGCATTAAATTATTTTGTTTCATCCATTTTTTAAAACATTTACTAACTTCACATCAGCAGTCCCCTTTGGACATGATAAATGTCAAGTCGTGAACAGGCCTGAGACCTTAAAAATGTTTAACCAAATATTCTACTAAACCAACATGTATTAAATACATATTTATTGAAAATTTTCTCGTGCTAGGTTTGATGCCAGACATGGGTATGGTGTCACATTTGAAGTCTTCCGTCAGTGACATTTGAGTGTCCTCTATGTGTAGGCTTCTATAAAATATCAGCTCAGATAAAAATGATATCCTAAAGGAAAGATATGCATTGTCTTCTCAGAGAGGATGTCAACCAATAGTTAGAAAACGGAAGACAGTCATGGGCGGGAGGTGTACCTAAAATCTAACACATTTCTCTGGGAATTCTGATATGTGCATACTAAAGTCTTAGTAACTTAGGATTCACAGGAGTGAAACTATTTCTCAAAGGTGATGGTATTTAAAGGGGTATTTAAAACCTAATGACACATAATAATTTTTGAGTCTGAGTTCCTTCCTTCCTTCCTTCCTTCCTTCCTTCCTTCCTTCCTTCCTTCTCTTCCACCTTCCACCACCCCTACCTCCCAAACTCCAGTACTGAAAAAGATTGAACGCAGGACTTAAGGCAATAACTTTGCTACTGAGATCCATTCCCAGCCCCTGAAGATAGGAAGGAATGGAACATTTCAGTGGTTGCATAGTACCAGGTACACACACTTCATGTATGATCATGTATGCTCATGCCCCCAGCCTGCTGATTAACTTTCTAGAAATCCACTTTAAAAATATAGTCCACTGTATCAACTGACTCTCAAGATGTGCATCTGAAGAAGTGAGGTAAGATGCCTGAAGTCCTGAAGAAACTTCTGAGACCCCATGTGTTCTACTCTCCAGTCTGAGCTTTCTCCTGGAGCTTGAGCTCTCTGCTCAGTTATTTTCTTATGTTTTTGTGTCATAAGCATACTGTACTGGTTGTTTTGACCCTTGAACACTGCTTCGCATTTTAGCCAGTGTTGAGCAATCTTTCTGTGGACACGATAACCTTTAAACATTACGGCTATTCTTTAGTCTTCAGACCCCCACTTTCATTTGTTCCAAGTGGCTAAGTAGCTCTCTACTAGAAAATGTCCTTAGCCTCCTTAAATGTATGTTATTAGTTTAGAGTCATTTTGCTAAATCACCAAATATAACATCCTCAGGGGAGAATAAATTAATCCATTTGTAAAAGTAATTCCACTAAGCATTTTTTCCATACTACGAGAGAGAGAGGGAGAGAAAGGGGGGAGAGGGAGAGGGAGAGAGAGAGAGAGAGAGAGAGAGAGAGATTGGAAACTCGAATGGACCATGTAGAGAGGTTTTCTAAATGTCTACACAAGTTCTAATTGGTTGAATTGGTGCCCTTCACATTAACAGAGGTGGAACCACCCTTTAAAGGCTCTGCTGACAGTCCGGATATCTTCCCTTGTGTGTGGGGGGGGGCATGTCCTTTTAAGTGTTCATGTGTATGGGTGCATGTGTGTATTGGGAGGTGAATGACTGTGTTGTGCATGTACATGTAGAAGCCAGAGAGACAACTATCTTTTTGTTTTCTTTCTTTCTTTCTTTCTTTCTTTCTTTCTTTCTTTCTTTCTTTCTTTCTTTCTTTCTTTTTTTGAGATATTGGAGCTAGGGCTGGCTGGCTCAGCAGTCTCAGAGGTCTGCCTATTTCTATCTGCCCCATCCTGAGATTATAACTGTGCAACATCACTCCTAGGGTTTTTAAAAGTGTAGATCCTGAGAATTCAACTTCATCCTTCATGCTTATGTAGCAAGTACTTTACAGACTGAGCTATTCTCCAGCCTGTATCTCCCCTTTAAACAATCTCCTTCCCACTGCCTGTACATCAGAAAGATAGAGTCAACACTTTTACCCAGAGCAGCTGTTTGGTCCAGACTGTGGAGATGCACATGACATAAAGTGTGATATATATTTTATGGTTGACAATGCAGGTTTCTTCGTAGTCAGAGAATTTGATTTCCACATTAAATGAATATAAAGGTTAAAGGATTGGGCCATTCTAGTTATACGTAATTTTTGGTAAGTTAGTCATTCCAAAGAATGAATAATTTATCCATCGAGAAATCTTAAAAGCAGCATCTTTGCTGTCACCCCAGGATATACCCTTGCTCATATAATCAGTTCTCTGTCTTTAAGAGTAACGGTGATTCCTGCAGACACTTCCATTGTGCAGTGAGTATTAATTGAGAACTTAGTCTAGGTGCAATGGTGCCTGAGATGTAAATAATGAGCAATACATTGAGAAGTATAGGGATTACTTTTATAACTGCCTTGGTTGGTTGGCCAATCAGTCAGGTTGCTTTGTTTGTAGCAGGGTTTTGGTAGAAAGTACTCATTGCCCTGGTACTCTCTATGTAGACAAGAATGGCCTGAGAGTTGTGGTGATGGTCCTGTCTCTATCTCTTAAGTTCTGAGACGATAGGCATGCACTACCCTGCTCATCTTTACATTTCCGTAAAATCTAGACTTATTCTTAGTATTATAAAGCCAACAATTTTATACATTTGTCATAACAATTGCTTTAAATTAGGATCATCACACTCTCTGATACCACACACAATGGTTAATATTTAAGTCGAATATACAATGGTATTCTATCCTGAATAAAAATATTTCTGTGCTAAGGCAGTGATGTATAATTTGCACACATCTTACAGCCAGTGACACAATCTCAGCTGCTGCTTCTGAGCACTATGGGGATCATTCAATAGAAGCACGTACATGTCCTGCTTCTATCATTTCAGAAGCAATGTGGCGGCTGCCAAATCCTTAATGCCAGGAGGCCCAGCAGCCACAGGGCTCAGGCAACCCATGACCCCCCAAAGATGACTGAGTACAGTCACCTCAGTCACTAGGCTCTCTAAAGTTTTGTGGAAACTCCTTAGCCATTATGTATTTATTAATTCCTTAATCATTTTTATATTTGTGGTACTAAGGATTGAACCAGGGCCTCCTGGTTGTTAGGCAAACCCTCTACCACTAAGATATATGCCCAGCCCATGACCAGTCATTATGAGAAACCTAGAATTGTAAGGCTGTATGTCTCCTTCCCTAAAACACTCTCCTGGGTCCTCTTAGGAAGCACTTGTCATCTTTCTCTCATTCTTTGTAATGAATTATGAGTATAAAAGAAATTATAGTCTGCAATCAAAATTTTCTCCAGAAGTTTCACATCAGGAATGTGATGAACTACGTCTAGGGGTCAGTTTTGTTCACAATGTTATCCAGCCAGGCATGGTGGCTCATGCTTGTAATCTAAGCACTCAGGAGGTTGAGGCTGGAAGATTTGAGTTGGTGAACAATGTAAGCTACACAGTGAGTTCATGACCAGCCTGGATTACAATGTGAGAACCTGCCTCAAACAAACAAACAAACAAACAAAAAACAAGCACACAGGAAGGTTAGACATTTAACATGTAGATTTTGAATAAAGATGGCAATCTACATTTGTAGCCCTGTGCAAGTTAGGTATCTTTCCATTTTTTTTTAAATTAAATTTAATTGTATACCGTACCAGAATTATAATAATGGTTTTATTAGCTTCTGGTTAGTTTCAGAATTCAAATTATGATGTTGAAAGTAATATTCAGAAAAGACAGGACTGGATATTTTACAACAGGTCACTTACCCAGTTCAGAAGAAAAATAACTAACGTACAAAAGGTCCTGAATCTGGGTCTACCAATGGGCCTTGGAATCCTCTTAAATACACAGTTTCATAGATGCTGTCGTCAAAAGGGCCTTTCTGTGACTATGATAGATTAAAACAGAAAAGAAGACCACCCTGAGTGCTCATCTGAGTACACACAAAATAAGGACTGTGTCCAAGCCACAAATAGCAGCCATGTTCACTCTGTGCACTGCTTCACCAGTCACAATTCCAGTCATGTCTAGTCTTCCCTGCATGAGAGATTGTTTGATCCCTGCTTCCTACTCCAGAGTGAAGCCCACTTCTCTGGATTTTGTGTACGTGTGTGTGTGTGTGTGTGTGTGTGTGTGTGTGTACCAGAAGTTAATGTCAAACTGTCTTCCTTAATTATCATCCATCTTATTTTTAAGACAGTTTCTCACTGAAGCTGGAGCTCACCAATGTAACTAGACTGGCTGCCCAGCAAGCCCCACAGATCCTCTTGTCTCCATCTCACCAGTGGAGGGATCCTAGGCATGGTGGAAACATCCAGCTTCCAACAGGGGGTCTGAACTCAGGTTCTCATGCTTCTGCAACAAGTGCTCTGCCAATGCGTCCATCTCCCCAGCCCAGGCACAGTGCATTTAGTTTTACCCTACTTGACCACTCTTTTAAAGCTAATTTCACTTTTCTACAGAAGGCCCAAATTTTTATAGTGTTTAGCCATTTCATACACATCTCAAACTTTTAAGCTTTTGATTAATATGAATGAATCATGAGATTACTTGAACACAACAAAATGTGTCAAATATTCTGAAATAGGTGTCAACTTAACAACCATGTAACAAATTCAATACACGGGTGTTTGAGTTAGACACGTACACGCACTGGAAATCCTGAAGTTGATATGAAACTAATACATGTGCAGAGACATAAGATTTATAAGCAGACATTATCTATTCACTTAAGTACCAAACTTACAGAGAGAAAGGCATGATTTATGTATGAGTATTTGTAAGGCTGTATGCCCATTATTTAAACCAACCATTGTGGGCCCTATACTACCTGAGTCTTGATGATGTACTTAACATTTTGCACAGAGAATACTCTGTATCAGTTCCTACCTAATTTCACTTACGTCGCAACTTGTTTTCACAATTCTTCTGTTGCTTCACCCTGCCAATCAAATTCTAAAGCCAACCCTTGGTTGAACAGAAAGACACTGAAAAGAAAAAGAGAGGAAATTAATTATAAGCACTTCAAATGCAAATGTGTTATTGTTTCAAGATTAACCACAGGGTAAATACTGAAAGAAAAAAGTCTGTGATCATTTGTAGTAAGTAATTTATTCCATCTGAACTGTATCTCAAACTGCAATCTTCAGACTCCCCATGCTCACAGAACAAGAAGCATGGCCCAGGCTGTACAGAAGTGTTTGTCTACAGTTCTGATCTCTGAAAAAAATGTACTTTGTTCACTCTTGACTGCCCTGTGAGGATTCCAGGGGGAAAAATGACTAAAGAGATGGATGGGGTGACAAAACAGATCCTTGTGAAAGGGGGCTTAGGGATTGCTGTCACTGAAGGCTAAGGATTAGATTAGAAATATTTTTGTTCAAGTCCATTCAGAAATCAATCATAGTATTCTGTAGGGATGCTGAGGAAAATTACATTTTGACCTGCCATAGAGGAAACTTTCATCCTGGGGCGCTTGTGAATAGTTCTTTGTAATTCAAGGGGCGTGAGCGCATCATTACACTGCCAGTGTGTCCTGACCCAGCTAGCACATCCACGCCTTGCTGCGTCTCAGTAGTACTTCAGAGTTCTATTCTCTGTGTATGTATGCATACACGCACATATATGTACTGTGTAATGAAATAAAATGTGAGTAATAAGTACTTTAATACTGATCTGAAGCTCAAATTTTTATATCGTTATAAAGTACTTTAAATTGAAAGGAATCAAGAATAAGTAGTCGGTCAACATTCTGTGTCATTAGGCTTCGGGTTTAATTAGTTGCTTGTTAGTAACTCCCAGGAAACAAATGCAACTACTGTTGGCAGATTGCATGACTCCTTCCAAAACCGTGAGAGCTAGTAGTCCTCAGTGAGGAGGTTTCCAGGTCAGACTCAGCACTCAAACCCAGTGTCTGAAGTGTGTGGTGTCAACTGCAGTAGGATCGTATTTCCTTTTCCTGGAAGGTAACAAGGGCAATTTCCATAGCCTGTATTGTTTGGGGAGTGTGGCTCTTAGATCCCCCTGACCAACAACTCAAAAGAATCTTTCCCATGCCTAGCACTGGGGGTTTGTTACATAGTTGTCCTCTCAATCGATGTAACACCAACTCAATTATATGTAACTTCAATTTACATTATATATTATGTTTTTATATATACATTTATATATACACACATACATATTTGAGTTTACATTGTATATTATGTTATATATAACACAATATATATAACAATATACAACGTAAACTTAAATACATAACATATGTAATAACATATGTTACATAATATATAATGTAAACTTAAATACATATGTGTGTATATATACAACATATAGTATGTGATGTAAACTTAAGTATATGTAATATAATGTGTGTAATATATTATAATACATATATATTCTATTATACTAACTTTTAAGGTAAGGTTCCCAACAATAAATGTTTTGCTGTGTAGACGGTGTGAGCTTCATGGTCATGTGGCAGGAAGTTGGTTTAATGCCGAGCTAGATTGTGTTAAAATTCTTTTTGGTTGATTTTTGGAGAATTTTATCTGACATATTTTGATCATATCTATTCCACTCCCCCAACTCCTTCCAGATCTACTCCACTTCCTTACCCACCCAGCTCTGTGTTGTTATAAAAAAGAAAATCCTAACTGAGTCAAATTTATGCTGCCGTATACTCTTGGATGTGTGGCCTTCATTGAAGTGTGATTGACTTACCAGAGGCCATGTTCTTTTAAAAACCGGCTCTCCATCTCTCAGCAGCTATTAGTTACCAACAGCTCCTCAACTGAGGATGGGACCTCATGCCCACCTCCTCTCTTTATGCTGAGACTTTGCCTGGTTTGAGCTTCCTAAGATCTTGTGTGTGCTATCACAACCACTGTGGATCCATATGTTCGAATACCCTGCTATGTTCAGAAAACAGTTTCCTTGAAGCCCTCCCCACCTCTAGCTCTTACCATCTTTCTATCTCTCTTTTTCAATGATCCCTGAGCCTTGGGAGGAAAGGATGTGTTATAGGCAGCCGAAAAAGCTGAACATCCCAGTCTCCTGTTCTCTGTGCCTTCACCGGTTGTGGATCTCTGTATGAATCACCACCTACTGCAAATACAAGGCTGTCTGATGAGGACTGAGAGATGTATTAATCTTGAGAAAGAAGCTGGAGGGAGAATATATTAAAATACTTAGCAGTTGTTTAACAAGTATTCCCATTTTTATTTAACTTGAGAAGTCTGTATTTGGTTATTCTTATTATACTTAATGTAAATTAAGTGCATGTGTTGAGTAAATATGGCTATGTTATGATAAGACTTAGGTATAAAAACTGGCAGTATGTAAGAATCCCCCTTTCTCCATATCCTCATTAACATTTATGATTTTGTTTTTCCGGTTTTTCAGAGAGAGTTGTTTGCTTCTTTTGACTTTTTGACTTTTTAACGGTAATCATTCTAACAAGGTTAGGTGACAGCTTACAATGGTTTTTATTTGCATTCTCTGATAGTTAGTGATTTTATATTTTCATAAACAGCCATGTGTGTTTCTTTTGAGATTTATGGATTCAGATCTCCAGCTTATATTCTACATATTTAATATTTTGTAAGAGTAGTAAGTGGTTTTATTGAGAATTAGTTTTTTCATACAATATATTCTAATTAGTTTCTAAATTAATTCTAATTCTCTTCCATCATCTAATCTCAAATCTTCCCCATGTCTGTATCCATCCAACTCTACATCTTTTCCCCTATTTTTAGAAAACAATAGACAATAATAAAACAAAATAAAAAAAAGTAAAAGAAAATGCATAAGAAACACATATACATGCACACACATGCACACAAATACTGAACTGAACCAAATGAAAACAACCTACCGAAAACCATAAACACACAAATTGGAAACTATAATATATATAATTTATCTCCTAATTGGATTATTTGATGGTTTGTTATTGAGCTGTTTGAGTGCCAGTTTAGGTAAAATGAGTCAGATACAGGAAGATTTGTAGACATTAGTTATTTTTTATAACTGTGACTAAAGTATCTGCATCAACAATATAAAGGAAGAAGGATTTCTTTTGACTCACACTTTCAGAGGGCTCACTTCATGAGCCCTGTGTGCTTGGCAAAGCACCATGGTGATAAGAACATGTTATCAGGGATACAGTAACAAATCCCAAAGAGAACCAGGAAGGCTATAGCTGAAATGGAATCTGAGTTTCAACTCTGGACAACATCTGTCATGACCTGGACAAGTTATCCCTTCTCTAAGACTGTAAATCTATTGCTGCTTTCTTTGACAGTGTGAACCTGGGACAATGGAGCCTAAAGAAAATGAAGGAGGCTAAAGCCTCACACAATAGCAAACTTTATTCAGAGCATCAGACAATTTATATCCTAAGGGCATTCTGAGGGCAAAGCAAGGTCACATAAACCAAGTTCACTTTAGTACAAGTTGTATACAGTTGCAAGGGCAAAGTCATATGAGTTTAAGTTGTATACAGTCATGGGGATAACCTGTACCTAGAAACATCTAAATAATAATAAAATGATGAATAATCTGAAGAAAAAATCTGATTTATTACACTTGGGAGGGTCATGAAAGCACATTCTAAGAACAAGCCATGTAATAGAGAAACAAATTATAAGACTTTTGTCTTGTTTCTTTGTAGTTTTCCCAAGTTCTCAAAAATTCTTCTGCAGATTCACTCATGGACCATGCTCTGACAAATGTCCTTTTGTACAGAAAGATGTAAAGAATGCTTTGCTAACTGTCTAACAAATGTTATGAGAGTGAAATTGAGGCATATTCCACACCACATAGCACAGTGCTTTCAGATATTAAATGTATCTACTGTTGATTGCATTGTTATTTTATTAGCAAATCCTGAGAAATTAAGTTTACTTTTATTTCAGATGTTGTTTGGGCAGTTGCAGCTTTTAACAGCTACCTTTTAAAATGGCAAGATGAAGACGTCAGCAATCTCAGCAAGTAGAAAATCAAAATGATTAAAGCAGAGGTAACAAGAATACTATTTCACCAATAGAAACACTGAGGTGCCTTAAAATACGTTGCTAAGCAGGGTGACAAGGACAATGGGAATGAACACAGAGAAGAGTAATGAGCAGCAATAATTAAAGCGGCCACCAGATATACATACACAGTCACACAACTCCTGGGGAGCTGATAAAGTCAGAAGCAGAAGGAAGGATAGTTAGTAAACCTCTGCTGTGAAAATCCTCCCTCTCCTCCATGCAGATTCTTCCCCGGTGCAAGGAGTGGTGAGTTTGGTTATTGAAGCTCTTCCTTGACCAGGAACTCTCACTGCAAGTGAGTAGACTACTGGATACCGGGGAAGAAGGTAGCCCGTGGGGCTTCCCTAAGCAACTAAGTTCAAGTGTGGGAAGTACATAATACCAAATTCACTGCTGCCATGTGGTGCCAAGAAAGTTTATGAAGAAAAAAAAATCATTTAACGTCTAAATGTGAAAACATTCTGCAACTTCTTTTATAGGTATCACTGCCCCCAAAACCCAGATGGTGATTGGTGGAGCTATCCTACTTTTCCTCTCTGTTGTCCTGAAGACTCTCCATGAGACCATGTTCAGTTTCCCCACCATGCTGAGATGTACAAACATCCTCATCACAGAGGCAACAGATGCAAACATGTTTACAGAGCTTAAAGCTACACATAACCTTCAGAGGTCAGTAGCTGGGTAGTAGGGCTGTTCTTTAGAATTAAGCTGTTCTGCTCCTCTATGACACAATCTCAGTCTTTCCATTTGTGCTTTCTTTCCCTCACAATAGTTAAAGATGCAGGGCATTCCAGGCCAGGGCACTACCGGGCTCCTTCCCCATCTGAACAGCACTGTACTGCTGGGTTTTGCACTGCCTGTAATAGGTACCCAAGTGTGTGCTTAATGGAGCTCCAAATCCCTCAGGTTTCCTCAGCAGGGATCTTATTTTCACTTTCTTTAAATCAACA